TTCAGGGCCCTGTGTCGTGGCCTAGCAGCTGAAGTCCTCACCTTGAACGCACCAGGATCCCATATGGGCACCAGTTCTAATCCTGACAGCCCTGATTCCAATCCAGCTCCCTGCTTCTGGCCTGGGAAAGCAGTGGAGGACGGCCCAAAGCCTTGGGACCTTGCACCCACATGGGAGACCTGGAGGAGGTTCCAGGCTCCTGGCTTCGGATTGGCTCAGCTCAGGGCATTGCAGTCACTTGGGGAGTGAATCATCAGACAGAAGATATTTCTCTCTGTCTCTCCTCCTCTGTATATATATATATACATATATATATATACATATATGTATATATATATATAAATCTGACTTTGCAATAAAAATAAATAAATATTTAAAAAATTTATTTGTTTGAAAGGCAGTTACAGAGGGGGAGGGACAGAGAGATTCTAGCCACTGGTTCATTCTCCTAGTGGCGACAGCAATCAAGGCTATACTAAGCTAAAGCTGAAAACCTGGAGCCACATTCAAGTCTCCCACGTGAGTAGCAGGGGCCCAAATACTAGGGCCATCTTCTGCCTTTCCAGGCACATTAGCAAGGAGCTGGATGGGAAGTGGAGCAGCCAACACTTGAACCATGTCCAGGAAATGCAGTGCTGCAGAGAAGAGAATTAGCCAATTGAGGCATTGCACTGACCCCACAAAGTTGATTTTTTAAAAAAAGATTTATTTAGTTATATTGGAAAGTCAAATATACAGAGAGGAAGATCTTCCATCTGTTGATTCACTCTCCAAGTGGCTGAAACAGCATGAGCTGAGCTAATCCAATGCCAGGAGCCCGGAGCCTCTTCTGGGTCTCTCACACAGGTGCAGGGTCCCAAGGCTTTGGGCTGTCCTCAACTGCCTTCCCAGGCCAAGGCAGGAAGTTGAATGGGAAGTAGGGCCACTTGGATTAGAACCTAAACCCATAGGGGATCCCAGTGTGTGCAAGGTGAGGACTTTAGCCACTAGGCTACTGTGCTGGGCCCACAAAATTGATTTTTAAAAGTAAAATTTAGGGCCCAGCGTGATAATGTAGTGGTTAAGGTCCTTGCCTTGCACACCCCAGGATCCCATATGGTCGCCGGTTCTAATCCCGGCAGCCCTGCTTCCCATCCAGCTCTCTGCTTGTGGCCTGGGAAAGCAGTCAAGGACAGCCCAAAGACTTGGGACCCTGCACCCGCGTGGGAGACATGGAGGAAGTTCCAGGCTCCTGGCTTTGGATTGGTTCAGCACCGGCTGTTGCAGTCAGTTGGAGAGTGAATCAGCAGTTGAAAGATCTTCCTCTCTGTCTCTCCTGCTCTCTATATATCTGACTTTCCAATAAAAATAAATCTTCTTTTTTTAAAAAAAGTAAAATTTAAAAGTTCCAGAGTTTAGAGTCCGATCTCATTGTGTCTGAAGCATGTCTCTTGAAACAGTGATTTCTGAGGACCGACAAAGTCAGTGTACACGACCCTGTGTGGCTGGCCCCTGTGTGGCTGGCCCCTGTGTGGCTAGCCCTGTGTGGCTGGCCCCTGTGTGGCTGACCCTGTGTGGTTGGCCCCTGTGTGGTTGGCCCCTGTGTGGCTGGCCCTGTGTGGCTGGCCCCTGTGTGGCTGGCCCCTGTGTGGTTGGCCCCTGGCGGCACTGGTCTCATTTTCTGCTCGTGTACTCTAGCCATCCTGGCCTGCTTCTGGGTCTTCAGATACTCCAAGTGCATTCCTGTCTCAGAACCTGTGAACCTAATCCGCTTGCAGAATTCTTCCCGGATAGAATTCAAGGTATATCTGCTCAGGTTTCAGCTCCAAATGTGTTTCCTAAAAAGCCACTTGAATACCTTTCTACCTTCCCTATACCACTCGTTTTCTTTATAACCCCAGCCATTATTTGAAATTATAGAATTTACTGGTCTATTGTCCTGTTTTCCGACTGGACTATGAGTAAGGCTGTTCCAAAGGGTAGGTGGTGTGCTGGTTGTTGGGTGCCCTGTGCCAGGCACATGGCAGCCTCAGTAGATGCTGTTGAATGAATGAATGACTGCCACCTGTGGCAGTGTGTCTCAGCTTAAGAGCCAAAGATATCCCAGTAGAACCCACCAATTCTCTGCTGCCAGAGTCTAAAAACTTTTTGTATTTCTTTAAATAATTAATATTTATGACTTTTCCAGATAGGCATCGTAAAAGATGATGTTTTGAGTGCTTGAGTTTGCTTGAGTTTAACCTTATGTTTGTATCAGTTGAAGGCCAAAGGACATAGTGACAGTGTATGGGGCAGAGTTTCCTGGCCATTTTATAGAGAGAAGTGCTAGAGTTAAGTCCTAACATGCCACATACAGTGTGTCCTACACAGGGATAACAGTGAGCTGTCAGTACTGCAAATGTACCCATGTATCTATCTGTATATTTAGGTTTACAAAACCTTTGTACTGTAAGTATAATAATAAGTATACAGTGAAGAACTGTATTTTGGTTCCCAATAATAATTAGCCACTATGTTAAATTCAGATATCAAAGAAGCAAAAATATTAACCTTATTTTAAAAATGATTAATATAGCTTTACAGAGTACTTAAGTGGTACTCAAATAAAATTGGTGTTTCTGGATTTTGAAACACCAGAACTTTCATTAAAATATGATATTTGGGGTGGGCATTTGCCAGGATGGTGCAGATGGCACCCACATCCCGAGTTGGAGTTCTGGCTCTGCTTGCTGCTTGTGCTCCTGCTGGGAGGCAGCAGGTGGTGGTGGCTCAGTGGATGCTGAGCTGGAGCTCTCAGCTGCAGGCTTTGGCTTGGCCCGGTCCCGGGGGTCGTGGGCCTTTGGAGAATGAACCAGCAAATGGAAACTCTGCATCTCTGCCATTCAAATAAATATATGTTTAATAAAAAATAAAATATGAACATCTGATTATCTGGAATAATCAGATATTATTTACATTGGCATTTAAACAGACACTTAGACCAGACGTTGAATCTTAATGCTCATAAACGTAATGTTTTTCAGTTTTAACGTTAATTTTTAAATGGAGACTAAATCACCCTTGTTACCTGGGCAGGGAATGCTTGTCGCTGCATCGGTATTACCTTTTCCTCCTTTTCTTCTTTTCCTTTTCTCTATGTTCTGAAACTGAAGGGTGGTCTTAGGGTGAAGCAAAATTTAATCATCTTCTTGAAAAATGAAACTCTGGTATCTTTCTTTTAGTAACAATGAAATGTTTATGGAGAGTCTGAGACCTCTCAGGAATCTTTCTCTCTCTGTCCCCTAAAAGGAGCTGTTCAGTTCCTTTCCTGCCTGCAACATGAAATGTAAACAAAGAGTGCCTGGTGGGGTTTCTGTATGCATACTTGCAGAAGACATGTTATGACAGACGAGAGAAGATGTGTAAGTCATTTCATATTTCAAGATAAAAGTACATCGTGATGGCGATAAGTCAGACTTTAGTCCAAGGCCATCTGCAAGCTGGAGGTTTGTGTTTCAGAGGGCAGCAGTTGAGTGTGGACCTTGTGAGAGCGTCAGCGCTGGTGGCACAGGCCGCTCAGGACAGTGGCTCCGAGTGAGTGCTAGTAAAGCAGTAAGCCAGTGGACAGCAGTGACTCTTCCCCAGACACCTCCCACACAACCTTGCCCTGTGCAAGCACTGATTCCACAGAGCCTGGCATTTAGCACGAGGTGTGCCAAAAGATCTTTTTTAATTTTTTTTTTATTTATGTAAAGATTTATTTTGTTTTTATTGGAAAGTCAGATATACAGAGAGGAAGATCTTCCAACTGCTGATTCACTCCCCAAGAGGCTGCAACTGCCAGACCTGAGCCAATCTGAAGCCAGGAGCCTGGAACCTCTTCTTGGCCTCCCACATGGGTACAGGGTCCCAAGGCTTTGGCTGTCCTTGATTGCTTTCCCAGGATGCCATCAGGGAGCTGGATGGGAAGTAGGGCTGCTGGGATTAGAACTGGTGCCCATACGGGATCCTGGTGCATTCAGGGTGAGAACTTTTAGCCGCTAGGCCACTGTGCTGGGCCCTGTGCCAAAAAATCTTAAGGTAACAGAGGGAAGAGTGGTGTAGTAGAATGTGCCCTGAGGTTGTTTTATTCATTTTCTATTGTAGAACTTTTCAGAGCCTTTCTGTGCTAATGACGTTGTGACTTTCCAGAAAGCAGCATTTAAGGCTCCAGGATGTCTAAGAGAGGAAGGGTTTAGGCCAAGAGTCTGCTTGGAACATGAGCCCCTGGGACATGTGTTCTGTTACGTGTGCTTATCTTGCACTTTATTTGAATGTGCATTTTGGTGATGTGAAGATGCTGATATGGGACTGACAGTGCCTTGAGCCACCTTCGGCCCTATGACACAGCACTCCTATACCGCTTTGGCAGTGAGCACTTTTGAACCTGAATCAAAGACACACACTTCTTGAAAAACCAATACAAATAGTGCCTTTTATTATAGCTTCTGCCTTTGTCAGCTTGCTTGGAAAGGTCCTCACCTTGGGTGACATTCAACCTAATGAAGAAATTGCTGCTGAATATGCCTGCATCTCCCAGTGGAGTGCCTGGGTTTGATCCCTGCTCCAGCTCTTTACCCCAGCTTCCCACTAATGTGGACCCTGAGGCTCTGGAGGTGGTTCACAAGAGTGGACTCCTGCCACTTACATGGGACACCCCAGCTGCAGTGCCAGCCCGGCCTTGACTGCTGTGGGTATTGGGGGAGTGAGCGAGGCAATGGAATCCTGATGGAATCTTTCTGCTCCTCCCCTCCACCCGCAAAAAAAACAAAACAAAACAAAACAAAACAAAAAAACAGTCCTCCTCATCCCCAACATCAGTTAATGTTCGTCCATATTTTCTTAAAATTTATTTATATTTCTCCATTTAATGTTTTATACTAAATGAGATGTGTTTTTGTCTATGTTATAAAGGAGTGATTTCAACTTATTTTATTCTATGTATTACAATTTGCCAGTTATTCCAAAGCTTTGCATTAAAAGTGTTTCTGTTTTGTTTTCAGGTACAGAATCCTTCACATCAAAGCTCATCAGTAAATTCAGTATGTACGATGGATAAATGCAGTTGAAATGTGGAAGAATGAGAGTTATCCTAACCAACTGGCACCTGCTGTCCCCTTCCCACCAGGATGCCCATTGGCGGCTCCACAGGAAAGTTTCTCTTCTCATGAATTATTTGAAATGCTGCCACTGTAATATGCTACATTAAAAAAAAACTTTACCTATTCCAATTTGGTTTTTTTTTTTTTTTTAATTATTGTGTCAACCTCAGGAAGCCTGAGAAAGAACTTTATATAAAAAGAAAGAAGAAATTCACAAGTCTTAATGTGTAAAAAAAATAACATCATGGGTTTTTTTCCCCCTTTGACCTGTAAATTTAGCAGATCGTTAAACTAATGTCTAGTCTTTTATTTTCTTAGATTCTTTTTTAAATTTTATTTTTATTATTGTTTACATAATTGAGAGGGATGTATGCCCATATGGTCCTCCAGTTGGGGTAGGGAAGATTGGGTATGGAGGAAGGTAAGTGGAACAAATGTTTCAGGTTTTTTTGTTTTGTTTTTTTCCTCCTTTGTCTGCAGGAGGAAATGAGAGGAGGCTGCTCCTTACTGTCAAACTATATCAGCACCCATGAATGGGGGGGACAATCATTTGATGACACCTTAGAGATCCTGATGTGGGGAAGAATGTTCTAAGGTTATTGTTGCTTGAACAGTTGTCAACTTCGTTGTACCAGGGCTGAGAAAATGTTTCCAACGTCTCTTGGTTGACGAAGTCCACCTTAGTGCATCGACATACCAAGAAACGTGGTAAAGCTTAGCTAGGAGTATTGTCTAACCTGTTCTGCATTCCATCCAATGACGAGGCAATTTGTCCCTGGCTGGTCTAGATAAGTTGGCTGTCATGTCTCCCATGTGCATCTGGCCATGCTACATGATCTACTACACAGGCATTAGCAACTTAGGAGGCCCAGTCCTAATAAACGCACTCCAAGATCAGCCCACACGTCGTATGATTTTCCCTGTAGCCAGAGTCTGAGATCAGTGGTCTAATCAGAAAGTCCTCCAAGAAACCTTGCCTGGGGTGACCTCAGACTTAACGTCTACCAGCCAGTGCAAGATCGGGTGAAGTCTGTCACCTGCACCAGCCAACACACATACCAGGGGATATAGCTTGGTCAGTTCTGTCTCAGCCCCATCTCTCACACAAACAGATGGGTTCTGTGGCCCAACCCAGCCAGCCGGCCACAGACCCAATTCTCACGCATACCAGTGGGTGCCATCCCTAGTCTTCAAGACTCCCAAGACTTCCCACCAGGCTGGCTCTAGCCCTAGATTTTGCACATGCCAGCCCCTGCTGCAGCCTAGCCCAGCCCAGGCAATAGCCCATCCAGTTCTTGTGCCACCCACAGGCACAGCAGCTGAGCTCAGCCTGCCCCACTCCTAGATCCAGGCCACATTGCCAACAGGTGCCTCTGCCTGACCCATCTCCAGCTCTGGTTCTTGTGCTCACTAGGGATAGGTACATCCTAGAAGGAGAGTGCCCACAATTCTGCCAGGCATGCTCCAAGCCCCAGATCTTCATGCCTGCCAGGGGATACTCCAGTCCAGTCTGACGTGACTTGCATCCTGTCCTGGCACTGCTCCCTGATACGGTGGCCTAGCTTGGCAGGCCTGCACCTATTCTGACTCACATGCACACCAGCGGGTACAGTAGCTTAGCCCAGCCTGACCCACCCCCAAACCAGCTCACCACAATCCCATCTCATGCTGTGGTGGAAGCAGCCCGGCAAGGAGGGGTCCCTGAAGTTCTACCGGGCTCACTCTCAGCCCTGGGTCTTGGTAAAACCAGCAGGTGTGTAGCCCAGCCTGAAATGGCCTGTCCCCAGTCCTGGCATTTGCCAGTAGATGCTATAGCCTGGCTTAGCCTGGCCCAACCCCACTCTCAGCATTCATCAGTGGGTGCAGCAACATAGCACAACCCAGCACAACCTGGCCTACTCCCAGTGGCAGGTGTTGCTGTCCAACCTGGACCAGCTTGCACTCTTTCCTGATTCTCACTCATGCCAGTGTGTATGCTGTGGACTGCCATTGCCTAGCCCACCCCCACACCCAGCTCGCACATGTGCCAACAGATGCTGCAGCCCAGCCTGCTGTAGTGTGCTCCGAGCTCTGACACACTCACCAGTGGCAGCTGTGCCTAGCAGAGGTGTTCCCCAGGTTCTCCTACTAGGCCTGCACCCAGCAATGGATCTCAGTTATGCCATTTAGTGTTACTGCCCAGACTGACATGGTCAGAGCCCCCAGTCCTGGCATTCACCAGTGGGTACTGTGGACTAACGCTCACACCCATTCTGGCTCTCACCAGTAGTTGTTCCAGACTACTCCACCCTCAGAGCCAGCTCTCATGTGACCCAATAGGTGCTGTGGCCCAGCCCATCCCACACTCATTCTTGCTCTCACAAGTACCAGGCAGTGCTGTAGGCTTGTCCAGCCTTGTTCACCCACAGCCCTGGCTCTCATAATCACCAGAGATAGCTAAAGCCTAGCAGGGGAATGCCCAGAGTTCCTTTACCAGACCCATTTCCAGCCCTGGGTCTTGTACATGCTAGTGGGTGCTTTGACCCAACCTGGCATACCCACCCCCTGCTCTGGCCTAGCCCAGTCAGACATGCCCACCAGCCCCAGGTTTTGTTAGCGCCAGCAAATGATGCTATTTAGCCCAGCCTAGGTCTCCCATGTGGGAGGGTGCCTTGACCTGACCTAGACATGCCCTCTGGTTCCCCCCCCCCAATCACTCCATCTCAACGCTCTCATTTATATGCCAATACAATGGCCTGGTCTGTGGAAGATCCCAGAACTCATTCCTCCTTCAAACATGCTCTCAGCTGCTCCCATGTCGATACATTCCCAGACCCCTTCCCTGCAGTCTGGGAATCTGCAGCCTTCCCCAATTCCCTGGGGACTGGGATGGCATGTCTCAGCCAAAATTCTCTGCCTTTGCCATTTGTCATAAAAAAGAAAATAAGCAACTATGCTGGCATACTGATGTTAACGAGGCCCAGAATGCTTGCCATCTATTGGCTGCTTTTCTTCTAGCAATGTAACACTTACCTGATCCAAGGAAACCTAGGCAATTGCTTATGGCTAGGGTAATGTCTATCTAGACAAGAGTTGACTATATGCCCTTAACTCAGTAATGCTATTAAATTCATATATAATCTGGTAATGAGCATCAAAAGTTTACAATGTTCTTATCCTTTGCTCCAGGAGATCATTTATAGGATTTATCCCTCAAAAAATAAATAGGAATACACAGGAAAAATTTTACTGTGACTTATATTATTGATAGTGTTCAAAATGATCTGGGCCTAGCACACTAGCCCAGTAGCTAAAGTCCTCGCCTTGAACGCACCGGAATCCCATATGGGTACTGGTTCTAATCCCGGCAGCCCCACTTCCCATCCAACTCCGTGTTTGCATCCTGGGAAAGCAGTCAAGGATGAGCCAAAGCCTTGGGACCCTGCACCCATGTGGGAGTTCAGAAAGAGGCTCCTGGCTGCAGCTTCGGATTGGCTCAGCTCAGAACTTTGCGGCTGCTCGGGGAGTGATTCGTTGGACGGAAGTTCTTCCTCTCTGTCTCTCCTCCTCTCTATATATCTGACTTTGCAATGAAAATGAATACATCTTAAAAAAAAATGATCCTAGAGTACTCTTCAGCCATTAAAGCAATGTTGTAGAAAGAAAACTAATGGGCCTGGTGCAATGGCTCAGTGGCTAAATGCTTGCCTTGTGCATGTCAGAATCCCATATGGATTCTAGTTCATGTCCCAGCTGCTCATCCAGTTCTCTGCTTGTGGCCTTGGAAAGCAGTTGAGGACAGCCCAAAGTCATGAGACCCTTTACCCATGTTGGAGATCTAGAAAAAGCTCTGGCTCCTGGCTTTGGATCGGCTCAGCCCTGGCTGTTGCAGCCACTTGGGGAGTGAATCAGTGGATGAAAAATCTTTCTCTATATTTCCTCTCTATAAATATGTCTTTCCAATAAAAATAAATAAGTCTTAATAAAAAAGGAATAAAAATCATGACTACTTGAAGTTTGGCACCTTAATTAGACTGTTTAGTTTATCCTAACCATACCCTATATGACAGGCCTTATTGCCATTTGTAGACAAGAAGGTACTCAAAGAAGTGAGATAAGGCCACACAGTTAGTAAAGAAATTCTGCGGGAATTCAGTGCCTGTCTGCATTCTTAACCAATGTTCTAATGATGAAAAATACAATTTACGTCTAAGTTGCCTGAGTGTAGTTTAACTGACATTAAGATAAACAACAAAAACTCCCTCCTTCCGTTCTGTAATTACTGCCTTTTTCCCCTAAAGATCTCCCTTTATTTTTAATTTTTATTGATCTGGGGGGGTGTTCCATGCTTATCCTAAGAATTTAAACAGTACAGCAGATTATCAGTTAACCCAATCTTGTTCCATAAGTGTGAGAGGACACATTTGTAGGCTCTTTTTTAAAAGATTTATTTATTTTTATTGGAAAGGTAGATTTACAGAGAGAAGGAAAAGAGACAGAGAAAAAGATCTTTTGTTTGCTGGTTCATTCCCCAAGTGGCCACAATGGCCAGAGCTGAGCCAATCCGAAGCCAAGAACCCAGGAGCTTCTGGGTCTCCCACGTGGGTGCAGGGTCCAAGGCTCTGGGCCATCCTTGACTAATTTTGCACAGTACAAGCAGGGAGCTGGATGGGAAGAAAAACAGCTTGGACACAAACAGTACTGTTTGGAATCCCAATGCTGGCAACGTAAGGATTTAACTATTGAGCCGTCATGCAGGATCCAAAAACATGAAGTTTTAACAATTCAGTTTTTTTATTTTTGTCATAACTGCAATTAAGTTTAGCATATTAATATGAGATACTTTCAAACAATAATCTTTATAAAATCTCACTTATAGAAAAAGATCTCATGCCACTTGGTAAGATGGGGAAATTACTGCAGTCAATAATTTTAAAAACTTTCATTTCTGGCAGCATAAACACCTTCAAATTTTTTATATTTTTAGTAGAATTCCAAATTGAGGCTTAATGTGTCAAATGAGTATAGAATTTTATAATTGAGTAGGCTTGTGGATTTCAAGTCACTGAAGATGAATGTTAGGAAAATTAATTTTGGGAGCCAGCACAGTGGCTTAACAGGCTAATCCTCAACCTGCAGCACC